TGTCTTGAGGCTTCTGCTCTCTCCTTGCGAGGGTGTAGTATTCCTACTACGATTTTCTGAGTGGCGAGGGGGCGTCTTGTTTTTGCGCCCCTCTCCTGTCGCCACTTCTTTTTTCTTCATCTGGCGTTTCAAGGCCTCCATGTCCACCGCCATCTTTCTTATCAATTCATCTTGCTCTTTCACGCGATCTTCCAGAGCTTGAGGGTCAATCCTCCGTCTTTGCCTGTCTGGACTTTGTGAATGAGAGCGATGGGGGCTGTTAGTCCGTCTTCCCCTAGCATCCCTCCTGGAGGTATGTCGTTGGGGCTCCAAGTTCGCCATGGGAGGGACAGAAGGTAATCCTTCACGCCTTGCGCCCCCATCTGGAGTTAGTCCGTCGACGGCGGACTGCGGCAATTCTTCAATGTATGCCATTGATTGTAAAGGGGAGAAGCTTTTAATCAAGAGGTTTTGTTCTGTCTGTATTTCCCACAGACGGCGCCAATTGTACGAGGAAGAAATAATTCTCCTCGTATAATCCTGTTGACTAAGTCCACGCTCCTCCGTACGACGTCGCTTTGTCACCTGAAAACACAAACATGAGCTAGCCGGCGAGTGTGTGCCGGAAACCTCTCCGATGCCTAAGTCAGAAAACTTGACAAATAGACAAAGCTCAATGTATCAGGAAGCAAAATTGTATGTTGTGTAATGTTACCTCTTCCAAGGTGATGCTTGTGAGCTTTTATAGGTTTCGAGTGGCCCAATCCTAGTAGAACTTTTATTCCTCCATGCAGAGTCCTCCTAGGATTCATTCTTCTAAAGGATAATGTTTATCCTTTTACACCCCCCCACTGCTTAAACCAAGTGGGATGGTTTTTACCGTGGCCGAACTACCATTTGACCGAAGTAAACTGGCTAAGCTGAGCCACAAGATAGGCCGAACTATCCTTAGTTCGGCCCCTCCTTTTACTCCTCATCTCGGCTCTCCCCTGTATGAACCATGATATATTGGGACCGAGCTACCGAGTAGCAAGGTCTTGACCGATCTATCCAGAATACGTCATGACCGGACTAACTCGGAGACCGGACTAACTCCAAGTCATCCAAACTAAAGTAGCTTTACAATTCTTGAGCCGAAGTAACTTCATCTTTTTTGGCCAGAGTAACTTTATTTCTCTTGGTCCGGGGTAACTTCTCGGCCCATTTTACTCAGTCCGTCGTACTTTGGGCCATAAAGTCCATCTCATAGCTCGACCCAATTTTCTCTAAAAATTACCCTCTCAGGTATGAAATCAATTTTTGAAAATTCTAACCAAACACAGCACTCAAACTAAGGTGTAGAATCACATCTTTTCTTATTATTAGACTAGGGATTCGTTTGGGATGTGGGTTGACTTTTTAATTTTTTTGTTATTTTAGTCTGAGGCTAAAAAGTTTCATTTGGGATGAACTTTTTGATTTTTTTGACTTTTGTGAGAGAAAAAATAAAATAATTATGATTTAAATGTGATATTTTATCTTATTAAACTGAAAAACCTATTTTATTTTTTATAACTATTTTATCTAAAAAGTCCTACTTTAATTTATATCAAACGAAGGCTAAATCTCTTACACTAAAATTATATCTCACATCGGAAAAAAGAAGGAAAAAAATGAGTTGTTTTACTCATATAAATGAAATCTTATACTCCTATTTCATTTAGTGAGGAGTCTTGTGAGAGTTTCAATATATCATACTAATTTTCTTGATTTTCTTAATTTTAAACAATTAAGAAAATTTCTATTAGCTAACTTTTATTTAATAATCTCACATCGAGAAAAGAAGAGAAAAAATGAGTTATATCTTATACCATCATCTCATTTAATATTGTAGTTTAAATTTAAAATTTTTTAATTAATTAATTATGACCGACCCGATTAGGCTAAATCATTTTTTATTTGATTGATATGTTGTCTCACACTGATTTTCTTGATTTTATTAATTTTAAACAATTAATAAAACCTCCATTGGCTAGTTTTTACTTGATAATCCCATATCGGGGGGAAAAAAAAAGAAGCAAAAAATGAGTTGTTTTACTCATATAAAAGGAATTTTATACTCTCATCCCATTTAGTGAGCAATCTTGTGAAAGTTTCAATATCTTATATTAATTTTTTTAATTTTAAACAATTAAAAAAATCTCCATTGGATAGCTTTTATTTGATAATCCCACTTCAGGAAAAGAAGAAAAAAATGAATTATATCTTATACTCCTATCCCATTTAATATTGTAGTTTCAATTTTTAAATTTTTAATTAATTAATTATGACCTAACCGATTATGCTAAATCATTTTTGATTTGTTGATTTAATCGTGATTTTAACAGTTTTATCAAAATATATTAATTAAATTTATTCAATTCGAAATAAACCTAAAGATTGATCCGACTAAAAGTTAAAATATTGAAATTACTTGATTAGAACATTCAAATAATTGTTAACTTCTATTGGGGCCAAAAACGTTTTACAATCCCCTTTTCAATGACCAACTTTACCGCATTCAAAGCAGATGGTTGTTACGCCCTCGTACGACACTTTTTGAATAATAGTTCCAATCATAACTCTCGATATTAGAGGCTTCTCCAGGTCAATCTGCATGCAGAGTCTAGCAAACTTTCCTTTATTCTTACTTTCTGAGTGGACATCTATCTTTAATAGTTTTCCCAACATGGCTTTCACTCGTTGGAGGACAGTACGATCAAAGAAATCAATAGGTAGTCCTTCAAGGCGTGCCCACACCACAATGGTGGAGCAAGCAGCATTAGCAGTCTGAAACTCGGGTTCCCAACGTCGAACCGTAAGGTAGTTAGGCCCGATGAACCACGGCCTGTAGTTGAGAACTTTCACAAGGTCAGCTTCGTCCGTGAACTTGATCAAAACAAACTGATCCCCCAGATCGATACCTTGGAAGGTTCCAACGGGTTTCCAAAGATTGTTCAGTCTAGAGAGAAGGAAAGCAGAGCTCACTTTGCGGCCTGTCAGCTTAACAATAAGTGACTTACACCAAGGGGTTCGAAGGCGATGCAGGTCATCTGTCGACAGCTCAACCTTCGGAATGGAGTCCGCCTCCCCGTTAGCAGTTGTGGTTTCGTTGAAGGTGAATGGTTCAAGGCTAGAACCACCCATGAGAGTACTAGGGGTGTGGGTAGGGTTTACTTTTCGTTGGTGGCGCTCTAGTTGGTCCTCTTCCTCTTCGGATTGCTCTTGATCTTTCCTTGTTGGTTTTGCTTTCTGGCATCCAGTTGCAGTGGCTTGATCTCCATCTCCATGCGATGTCTCCGAACTTGTTGCAGTGTCCATCTTGAATTAATCTATATAAATAGTTACTCCTACTAACTAAACACGATATGCTAGTTTCATTTATAACTAGATAAATTTCATTGTCATATATACAAATCCTTACTCCTATTATCTTTTTTTTATTTTTTTGAACCATACTTACTCCTACCAATCATGTTAGAAATCACTAATTTAGTGATTCTAAACCCATCACTAATAAGGTAAAAAAAAAAAAAAAAACACAACGGTAGATAGAACCTACTACCACATCATTAATGGTACCTCTAATTAGATCTCCCCTTCATTTTTCTACGCCTACTATCTAAACACGTGATTTTCAATTACTATATTTTCACATAAAAAATGTTATAATATTATTAAAATAATAAAATTTTTTAAAAAATGAAAACAAAAGAAAAACATTGATAGTAACAAACAAGGGGCTTGCACACACAGGCCAGGAGTGTACAAGCTGGCAGGCAGCTAGCTTTAATCATTGAAAGAAGAAAAATGTTAAAAATGGGATCAGATTTTACGCAACGCGGAGTCGGGGGACACGGGTGGGTTTCTGAGGCCCTTCATTTCCATTTCAATTTCCATTTCCATTTCCATACTCACCACCGATTGACTACTCTCTCCAAGAACCCAAAATTATCCCAAGAAACAAACAAACATAACAAAATCCCTATTAAAATCTCTCTCTCTCTGCATTTTCTGGCTCGTTCTGTCTGTAGGAAGGAGAGTAGAGAGAAGATCGAAGGATGCAGACGACTCAGAATCAACGGTCAAGATCTTCCAAGCCCACCACCATACATGCCTTCGCTCAGTCTGGAGATCTCCCGGGCTTTCAGAAGTTACTTCGCGATAACCCTTCTCTCCTCAACGATCGGAGCCCTGTTGTAAGATCCAAACCCTGTGTTATATGCAAAATGTGTTCTTTTTGAAGAAACCCATGATTTTATCTATCCTTTTGTTATGTTTTAAGGTGTTCAATAAGATGGGATTTTCAAGAATTGATTTAAATTTGAATGATTATGGATACGCACTTTGTTTACATTTGGTCTAATGTCAAATTCTTCTAAAACCCACAAAGCAACAAGAGGTTTTATTGGTGAGTGATGTAATTATTATGTTCTTGTTGCTCAAAAATCTGATTGTTCATGCGAATGTACGTGTATATAATGGAGTATATGGAATTGAAATAAATCCAATGTAATTGGTTTTGGACACAAGAGCTTCTTAGATATTTCTATATGGTGGATTTGGATGTCAGTTATGAAGGATTGGGTGTGAGAAAAACAGGATTAAGCAGTTATGATTGGTCCAATTGTACACATGTCCTTTGTGGATTGGTGTGTAACTTTATGTTGCGAGATTAGAGGAGTGGGTAAACCTAATGAACTTCTAGGACATCAAACAAGAATATGAGATGTATGGGATGCAATTTAACTAAGATTTGACATTAAAATGGGGTATAGAAGATTGGCATTTTTCTCCAGTAAAAAAATGGCTTTTGGGTACCATACCCAAAAACTATTTATAATGGTTAGATTTGGATAAGGAACTATTTCAGTAATTGATTGGTAATGATTAAAACCAGATAAAAAAAAAATGTGCATTTTGATTTGTTTCAACTCTATGTTGATTTCATGGAATGCATATACAAATTTTTTCATTTTGTTTATTCTTTGGTTGCTTGCAATAATGACCGATGATGAGATGTTGATTGATGGTATTGTTGATGAAATATTCTCATGTAGATAGGATGAAGAAAAATGTTTTGGATAGCTGTTTACAAATGAATATCATAAAAATACCTTCGACTTGGTAGAGTTGAGTTACATTTATGACAATTTGTAACAATGGGAACATATTGGGGATTCATTTTTGTTAATCTTCACATCTCTGAGCTATAATGTATTAGTAAAATAATTTTATTTCCATCTTTTTGGCTGTAACAGCTTCATTTGGTTGCTGAGAAGATTGAGGATAATGAATGGGAATATGAAATCTTACAGCACTAAAACCCAGCATGTTTGTACTTGTAAGATTTCGAAGTCTATATCCCCTCCTCTTTCTTCTTGGCTGCTGCATATGTTTGTGCGTGTGATATTAGAGACAACTTAGCTTTGGTCTTATCTATTTATTAATCTTACAGAAATGGAATAGAGAAAACACTGTGAGCAAATTCTTACGCGGGCTTCAACATTTGGACATATTAACCTCCTTCCCATCCTTGACTATTCTTATTTTTTGAATTTCTTTTGTCTTATCTCTTTGTTTAATTTGTAAATATAGAATTTTATTTTCTGATTGTGGGGCGGATATGGCTAGTCAAGAGGGGTAAACATGAGGAGGGGTAAAGATGAGCTTTCATTATTTTGTTTTTCAATTGCATTAGGAATTTAGGATATTTCTGCTTATGTTTGGGTTGCTTCTTGTTTTTGAAGCCAATTAGATCTCGATTTCTATATTGCATATTATGAAGCCAATTAGATCTAGGTTGCTATACTGCATGCACGTCATTTTAATTTATTTATTTTTTGTGTGCTTGGAATCTGTGCCCGTTGAATTGTTTCTTTTCATTTTCTTTTATTCACTTATTATGCTTTAAATGCAGATGGCTCAGACACCACTTCATGTTTCATCTGGTTACAACAATGTTGGGATAGTTAAGTTTTTGCTTGATTGGCATGGACCGGAAAAAGTTGAATTGGAGGCAAAAAACATGGTGTGTAAAATTTTTTATATTATCTGAACTCTGTCGAACATGTGTTGTATTAAAAAGTGAAGCTTATGTTAACTGACTAGATTTTTATTTTTATGTAATTTCTTGATGGCTAATACAAATGTCTTGCTTTGCAGTATGGGGAAACTCCATTGCACATGGCAGCTAAAAATGGGTGCAATGATGCTGCTCAGTTGCTCCTTGCTAATGGTGCTTTTGTCGAAGCCAAAGCAAATGTATGGTTTCTTGTCAACTTGTTTTCCTTTCTTGGTTGAATTTGTGTTCAAAATTTGGATATGGAGGTATTGTTTTTGAACCTTCTATTAATATTTTTTGTCTCCCTATTATTTGTACAGAATGGTATGACTCCATTGCACCTGGCTGTATGGCACTCACTCCGAGCTGAAGATTTTTCCACCGTGAAGACACTGCTTGAGTGTAATGCTGATTGCAGTGCTGTAGACAATGTATTGTTGGTTTTCATTACTTCTATCTTCTAGCATACTTATATATATACACTGGAAGTAGGTGACACTGTGTGTTTGCAGTTTTACTTCTAAATTTTTTTCACGACTGGATAATGAAGAAGGTAGGTTTGAATTTTAAAACTGTTAGAAGTTATGTACTGGAGCACTTAGCAATATGGGCATTCTTGGAAGGGAAAAAAAAATATGACAAAGCTTCAAAACTGTCCTGAGTTGTGTGATTTATATAATAGAATAAATTATATTGGTCAGTGTTTATGATTAGTAAAACTTTTAATGTACAGGAGGGCATGACTCCGCTAAATCATCTCTCTCAAGGCCTGGGGAGTGAGAAATTGCGAGAACTTCTTCACTGGCACCTTGAAGAGCAGAGAAAACGTAAAGCTATCGATGCTTGCAGTGAGACCAAGGCGAAGATGGATGAACTTGAAGATGCTTTATCAAATATTGTGGGTCTGCACGAGCTTAAGTTACAACTTAGGAAATGGGCAAAGGGGATGCTTTTGGATGAGAGACGAAGGGCTCTTGGGCTAAGAGTCGGCCCTAGAAGACCGCCTCATATGGCCTTCCTTGGCAATCCTGGAACAGGTAAAACTATGGTAGCTTGGATCCTTGGAAGATTACTCTACATGGTAGGAATTTTACCAACCGACAAGGTAACTGAAGTACAAAGAGCAGATTTGATTGGCCTCTTGCAAGGATCCAGGAACATCACTACTGCCCTCCTCCACGGCCTTATATCAGCTTCTCTCAATGAGTTGTTTCAGATTAGCCAACATTGGGTATCATAATGAATGCCTTATTTTTTAAAAAAATTCTTCTCCCATTTGGTGGGTTGCTCGATCGTAGTTCTACTGATTGCTTCTGCACACATTCTACATCATCCTTTTAGTGAATTAACTGAAATAGATAACACGAACGGTTGTTAACTATGGCTTTCCCTCCTAGTTTTTCTGAAAGTATATACTTAGATGTTCTTATCTGCATTTTTTTCTTGCAATTCTAAATTATTGTTTTGCGACTCTGGTTTTCTCAACCAAAATGACATTTTGAGATGATTATTGTGTACCCATAACTTGATGGTTCCATGAGAGTCTCCGACTTGCCATTCTATCCAGAAGTTTCTTTGTTATGTCAATACATGTAGTTGATTTCCTTTTTGTTTTTTCAAAACTTGCCATATTCTTGTGTTGGTCTGTGTCACATGCTTTTTTGACAAGTCAGAAAATGCGATATCAAGAAATTCAGTTTACTTTTTTAAAAAAATTATTTTCATAGTCAGAGGGTTAAACCAATGTACAAGTACAGATTCAATCATAAGCTCTGTTATTCATATTAAAAATATGTAAGCAATTATTTAAATTGTCATTTTCCCTATATCTTGTATGGTTAATTACAAACAAGGCACTATACTTTTATATGTAACAGGTAAAACTATGGTAGCTCGGATCCTTGGGAGATTACTCTACATGGTAGGAATTTTACCAACCGACAAGGTAACTGAAGTACAAAGAACAGATTTGGTTGGCGAATTTGTTGGTCATACAGGACCAAAGACTCGGAGAAAGGTATGCTATTGTGCTTCCAAAACAATATCTCATCATTTCTTTGTGACAGAAAAAGTAAATATAATATTCTAACGAACAAATATTTACCAAACCATCTACAGATCAAAGAAGCAGAGGGAGGAATTTTATTTGTGGATGAAGCATATCGACTAATACCAATGCAGAAGGCAGATGATAAAGACTATGGGCTCGAAGCCTTAGAAGAGATCATGTCTGTGATGGACAGTGGAAAAGTTGTTGTCATCTTTGCTGGCTACAGTGAACCGATGAAGCGTGTGATTTCATCTAACGAAGGGTTCTCCAGAAGGGTGACAAAGTTTTTTCATTTTGATGACTTTAGTTCGATAGATTTAGCCAATATCCTTCATATGAAGATCAACAATCAAGCGGAAGACAGCTTATTGTATGGATTTAAGTTGCATCGTTCATGTACTGTCGATGCTGTTGCATCACTGATAGAGAGAGAAACTGGTGAAAAGCAGCGGAAGGAGATGAATGGCGGTTTGGTGGATCCGATACTAGTTAATGCTCGAGAGAATTTGGACTTGAGGCTCAAATTTGACTGTGTAGATGTTGATGAACTTGTTACGATCACGCTAGAGGATTTAGAAGTTGGCATCCGATTATTATCACAATGAGACATGATTAGATGATGGCTCTGAAATGGGGCGATCCAGGTTCGATAATTGGCCAGATTCTTCTGTTGTATATTTTTCCTTTTTGTAGTTGATAGGCTATGATAGTCATTGATGCCCATTTGAAAATGTTTGGTGGGTATTTGAAAATTCTTTGTTTTTTTATTTTGAAGTCTTTGATTGTTGTAGCTAGCAATATGTTCAAGAGGAGTTTGGTTTGTTGTTGATAGAGATATGAAGCAATTCTTTGAATTTTCTTTATTCTTTTCATGTATCACTGTTGAGTTCAATAACAAGCAAAGATATCTCTCATTTTTCATGTGGTTGGTTCATTTGTTTTCTTTACTACTGCCTACTTTTTGAATTTCTGGCTTCTGAAGTTGGTTTAGAATTGTGTCTTTTTGTCATTGTCCAGCTGAAATAATAAGGTGCAAAAGTTGATCATATTTGTGATGATAACTCATAAATTATAGTTGCTGAGATTCTGTAGTTGATCTAGAAGTTCACTGTATATTTATTTAGTCTCTTATTATTAGTTGGGCATATAGTTAACATGATATTATCGAATTATATAATAATTATTTTATAAGATTTGTTGAGTAAATTATTTATAAAATAATAAAAATTTTAAGATGAATTTACTCCAATCATATGACTATTAATTGAATTATATTTATTTTGAAAAATATATAATTTATGAATGATTTGGATAACAGAAGTAAGTTTGGGTGAAACCTACGCAAGGAACTCAGCAAAATCCAAACAAACGAGGTCATTGCGTGCAAGGCAAAAATAATTAAAAGGAAAAATTATGAAAAAATTCCAGATTTGATAAGTAGTAAACTAAATTACAACTATTTAATTGGTTCAATCTAAATTCTTAAGTTTTAGAATGATATTCATTAGTTCCAACCAATGAAACAAAAATAATTTAGGTAGCGTTTGGTAGAGTTTTGTAAATGTGATTTAGTAAACTAAATTACAACTATTTAATTGGTTCAATCTAAATTCTTAAGTTTTTAGAATGATATTCATTAGTTCCAACCAATGAAACAAAAATAATTTATGAAGTTCACATCGGTGGTAACAGCCGAGATTATAGAAAAGAGTAGCGATGGACAAGAAAAATAGATAAGAAATAGGTTATAATCCATTTCTCAAATTATAACCCACTTCTCTCTCTCACAAAAAGCTGATTATAATCAGCTTATAATTAGCTTTTAATCAAAAAACTGATTATAACTATCTTCCCAAAATAACCTTAAATGAGAAGAAGAGTGAAGATAAACGACGATAAAGATAAGAAATAATGGTCAAGAATGATAAAGTGAAAAAAATGAATAAATTACCTATTTTTCGTTAGCTATTTTAGAAGTTAAAAATTTAAATTAAAATAATTAAAAAAAAAAGTTTGATTTGTTAAGATTTTTTTCCCCCTAATCCCAAAAGAAAAAAAATGGAAATAAAATGAATAAATAAAAAACTGATTTGCTTAGTTGGCTGAGTCTGCACAATAGCGTCTGCACAATAGCGAAAACCAGAACCAGACACACAGAAGGGTAACAGAAATTCTGGTTCCTCATCCTCTCTCTCTCTCTCTCTCTCTCTCTCTCTCTCTCTCACAGAGAACTATGGTCTGTAGTTCTCTCTCCCTACTATATTCCCCATGTTCTTCATTTCCTTCCAATTCCACCAACGATTCACCTTCTACTTCTTCTTCTCCATCCAAGCTCCGATCTTTCAAACGTAACCCTAGGGTTCTGAAACTAGCCTCCTCGACTTGTTCATCTTCTTCTCAATTTTGGAGAATCGAAGTTCGCTCGAAGCTATCGGTAGACGAGGATGGCTCAGCCGAGCAGTTTCTGCGGAGCAATTCGATTACGGACTTCATGAGGTTCAAGAGAGGAAATTCCGATGCGGAGCTTCAGACAGCCGCTGTTAGCTATAAGAAGAAGTTCCCTTGGTCTCTTCTCCGACCATTTCTTCAGGTATAATTATAACCTGTAAATTAATGTTATTTTTTTGCATACTTATGTGTGTGTGTGTATTGACATGTTTGTTTCTTGAGAAAATCTGTAACTTTGAAGTTTGACCTATTGTTTGATTTTGTATAACTGGTTTTTGATTTTATTAACTATGTAGGTTGATTTGGTTTCTACAATACACATTGCGGACAAAGAGTATGTTTTCTTACTCAAATTTGGATAAGATTTATCTTTTTTAGTATAGGGTAATTGTATGGTTGGACAAAAAATGAGACACAAAAAATTATGGTCTGTACAACAAGTATATGTTTTTGGATAGTGCATGCATACTGGATGCCTATAATTTCAAAGAAATAAATGAAAATTTCTACCAGTATACTTTTAACTTTTTTGAGCTTTCTTCAAAGCTTTGTTCCAGTTCAAAGCTTTGTTCCTAGCCTTCTGCATTGATAGGAATACAAATGATGCCTTACCTGGTAAAATGCAGTGGGTTGGTGAGAGTTGATAGGAATACAAATTTGGACCATTGGATTTTAGCCATGGACAAATCTAAACCATTGAAACTCTTTTCAATCTCAACCATTGCTTTTAAATTAGATAAATCTGAACCATTAAAGATAGTTTGTGAGAGAGACATTTTCAAAAATAAATCTGAGCCATTGCTTTTAAATCTAAACAGATCTGAACCATTGATTTGAAAGACATTTTCAAATTAACCCTTCCATTGTTATATAGATATATATATATATATGTATTGACATATTTGTTTCTTGAGAAAATCTGTAACTTTGAAGTTTGACCTATTGTTTGATTTTGTATAACTGGTTTTTGATTTTATTAACTATGTAGATTGATTTGGTTTCTACAATACACATTGCGGACAAAGAGTATGTTTTCTTACTTAAATTTGGATAAGATTTATCTTTTTTAGTATAGGATAATTGTATGGTTCGACAAAAAATGAGACACAAAAAACTACGGTCTGTACAACAAGTATATGCTTTTGGATGGTGCATGCATACTGGATGCCTATATTTTCAAAGAAATAAATGAAAATTTCTACAAGCATACTTTTAACTCTTTTTTGGTTGGGGGATTTGGGAAGGGATTTGGAAAGAGAAATGAAAAAGGTAGGTGAAATGTGAATAAAATATAACTACATTTCACCTAGCTTCACACACTTTTTATCTTCTTTTTTTTCAAATCTCTTTCCAAATGCCCCAACCAAACACAGGGTTAGGAAAGAATGGTTATTTATCTTTCACTGATCCAAATTTATATTTACCAGTACACTGTATGGAGGATGATTTATGGGGAAAATACAATTCAGTGTAGGTTTTGAAAAAAAAATTACACATAAATGGTAAACTTTATAAATATTAATAATTAAAATTCTAAATTTTTTCATGTATTTGTAAATATTTTTTCAAAAAACCCACTTAATTGTAATTCTCCCATGATTTATTGCTAAAGGTGAACCAATTTGAGATGAGAGTGTTGATGCTATTCAGAGAAAAGACTACGAGAATTAGAATTAGGGCAGGAGGAGATTTTCCAATGACCAAGTGGGTGGAGAAAAAGTAGACAAGTTTGGAGATGCATTTGTTAAATTGATCATTGATTTGCTGGAGCTAGTAAGTTGGAGGGCAACCTTTATCGGGGACAGATTGTAAAACATATTTTTGATAAATTTATTGTGTTTTGGAATAGAAGTGTCCCATGTTTGCAAAATGAACATCATGGGGGTACTATCTTCTCTTAGTGATCTTGCATTGAACTTGAACATGATTCTTGGATTATGAGACCAATTTTTAATTCTGAAATTTATCTAGATGGAATGGAATATGAACAGAGGGCCATTAGTTTAATAACCTTGGGGTTGTGGGTTTGAATTAGAGGGCAATCACTTTGTACATAATTGTACAGGTTTGTTTCCAGCATTGTGGGGTTTGATAATGGTTGATCACACACTTGGCTTTGGAAATTTTTCTCATCCCTTTTCTGTTTTCTTTTGTGGTTGAAAACCTGTAATGCCTATTAGCCACTGAACTCGGTAACATAATTTCCTTCTAAACCTTTCCTACAAGCTGTCCTGTAGATTAACTGCTTTCTTGAAGGAAATAATCTCCCTTGAATCTTAACGTTTCATACAAGATTATGTATTGCTGGAAATCCAACTTGAGAAGTTCAACTTTCATTTTCTACGAACTCTCTTGTAAACCTTATGCATGAGAGAGAAAAATGTATTTTTCATTTTCCTTTCTCTTCGCTTTTCTCATGCACCACTTTACTGTTTAATGTGCCTGACAACCAAGTAGAGCCTCTCGCTGGCAACTTTTGATAATAACATACCAACTATATTTAAACCATTTTCGTCATCCTCCTTACTAACCAAAAACCCAGCCCATCAGTCCTTGATGTTCCCCTTTTTTGGTGATTGTTAATATCTCTATCATTCTTTCTTGCTTTCCTCGCTTGTCTTAATTTTTTTTGAATAATTGTGTGCTCCCCCTTCAACTATTTTTCTGTGAGATGCAGTGAATCATGTGAACAGATGGTTTAATATTGAAGGGAGTATTATATAAACCTGATTTAAGGATTACATGGGCTTCATTTGTCTGACTTGGATCTGTTGAGCCACCTATTGCCTAATTTTCTTCAAAAAGGTAGCAGAAACCACTTGTTAGTTGCATGGATTATGATGCCATTAAAGAGGCATTAAATTTTTTTCCTGATGTAATTAGTAGACACATATGGGTTAATGAAGCATGACATTTTTGTTTTGTTTTTTGTTGTTTTTTCCTCTGTTTTTTGTTTGTTTTTCTTTTTTTGTCCATAATTTTACACTGCAGCCTATTTGCATGATGTGTGACTTGCATCTAGCTCTGTTTATCCATGTATGAGGTTCTGGTTTCTTTTCTATTTTACTCTTACAGAAAAATGATAGTTTAATTTTTTTTCCTTTCAAAATTATTATTTGTTTTCTTGACTTCTTTACTTGATTTACTTTCTTAACTTGAAATTCATTCGTTTGGTTGATCTTGTGTCATACACTCCAGAAGGAACTTGAAACTTATGACCGTGTCCTTTATGAGATGGTGGCTAGCAGGGAGAGTTTAGAAGGCAGGCGATACCATGGTGCCACAAAAAAGTTAAAAGCTTCCCGCTCGTGGGGGTTTAATATTCTTGGATGCATTCAGCGCTAGATGGCTAGACTTCTTACGCTTGATTTTCAATTAGACTGTCTTGACTACCAGGCTGAGCATTGGTACCATGCAGATCTGGATTATGAAACCTTCAAACTACTTCAGGTTTTATTCCTTTGAGCACTCTGCATAATGTTGATCTAATACACAGTAATTGTTATTTGGAGTTTACCTTAGTGCTGAATTTTCTCTTCTTTTTGTTTTTTTGACAAAAAAAATATACTTCATTCCAGTTTCAACTCATCTTATTAATGAGTTAGGGTGCTTAGAGATGCTTAAAATTTTTAAGCTACTCCTGAAATCAGCATGGGCTGTCTTTTCACTTCCAACCTCTGATTTTGTGATGAAGCGGTTGTTGCTCTAAATACAATTTGTTATGATATTTTTGCATCTTTGTTTGTGCCATCTGAATAAAAGCTATATGAAGGGAAAAAGAAATAGGATCAGGCAGCTGGGGTGGGGGGCAGGTGGGTTTGTTCGTCTGAAAATTTGAGAAAACTTGTTTGGCAAATTGTTTTCAGCATTTTTTATATTTTTATTTTTTAAAACAACCCATATTCATGGAAAGACCAAAAAGTTGTTTTCAAATTTTTGAAAACCGTTTTTGCTCAAAAATGAAAACAATATGAAAACGATAGGTTTTTCAAACTTACTCAATTGTTTTTGTTTCCAAAAACATGAAAAATGAAAAAGAAGAAAAACTATTAATAAAAGTACTTGAATGCTTCTATCTAAAAAAACAATAACAGTATTTGAATGCTCTCACGTTCTTTATCTACATATTCAAGCGTTACCTCTTGCACTTCTAGTTAAGTTCAGGAACAATTGATTGTCATTAACATTGGACTTGAAAATCTTATGCTACTCTATCTTCTCTTTCAGCATGAAAAAGGTGAAAGCTTCTTTACCTTTGCAAGAGATATGACTCTTAGATCAACAAAAGCCATGGTGCGGCCTACTTCCATTCCAGAAGAGCTTGGTCTTTGGAGATCCAAGCTTCTTTGGGCTTCTCGTGTGCTACCTATGCCTCTTGTTGGCCTTGTCATTATTGGAAGTGTTTGTGCTGATGTGGGAAGTCCAAGATCTGAATATCCAGAATTAGAAGCCTTGTCCAGGCTGGAATTTGGGGCTGCTATGAAGGTCTTCCTGGCAAAGAGACTAACATCTGAGTAAGTATATTCAATCTTCTTCTATATTTGAAGGTTACATGCTGCTAGTGGTAATGGTGTTGTTTGATAGGTCATAGATGTTGTTTGGTATTTGCTTTTATACCCTTTTTTTGGGGGGGTCCGGACTTCAGGTTAATGCAATGTTGATAATTATGAATTTACGAGCAAACTGGTTTAGTTGAGGGAGTACTCTGAGACCATGGCTGTTTATTGCTACGGCCATGCATAAATCATAAACTAATTAATGTTTCTTTTTAAATTTAAACTGGCAAAATGAACCTTTTGCTCAAATATAAAGTTGTGTATACAACATATTTGCTATTCTGATACAGCTAAATGTGATATTTGCTATTCTGATACAGCTAAATGTGATATTTGCTATTCTGATAGAGCTAAATGTGAGCTCACTGTCCTAGACTTCGTATCTAGTGAGTTGGTGGAAAATCTAGACTGATAGATAGACCTTAAGCATATCCCTTCTTGTATGTGTGGGTTGCTCCTAGATTGGGACCTAACAATATTTTCCCCAAGAGGTATGTTAGCAATGAGATGTTGAGATGACTTTGGACCATTCAGTTTGAGTTCATTCATACATGTAATAATTTTTGTTGTTTCAACTTGTTTTCCCCTTCAAATTTTCATTCCAAATTTAATCAACTCGGGTAAGTTCCTTGATATATTCTATCATCTGTATTCTGTGCCTTGATTTGGCAATGAAAAGTTGGAACTTGCAGTCAACTACAAAATTGACATTGGAAATGGTTCATGTTACCAATAAATTATATTGGTCAGTGTTTATGATTAGTAAAACTTTTAATGTACAGGAGGGCATGACTCCGCTAAATCATCTCTCTCAAGGCCTGGGGAGTGAGAAATTGTGGGAACTTCTTCACTGGCACCTTGAAGAGCAGAGAAAACGTAAAGCTATCGATGCTTGCAGTGAGACAAAGGCTAAGATGGATGAACTTGAAGATGCTTTATCAAATGTTGTGGGTCTGCATGAGCTTAAGTTACAACTTAGGAAATGGGCAAAGGGGATGCTTTCGGATGAGAGACGAAGGGCTCTTGGGCTAAGAGTCGGCCCTAGAAGACCTCCTCATATGGCCTTCCTTGGCAATCCTGGAACAGGTAGGTAATTGGCGTACTGTGTGTTGATTGTGACTATATTTCCTTAAATGCAATCTCTACTGCCCTCCTCCACGGCCTTGTATACTATCAGCTTCTCTCAATGAGTTGTTTCAGATTAGCCAACATTGGGTATCATAATGAATGCCTTATTTTTTAAAAAAATTCTTCTCCCATTTGGTGGGTTGCTCGATCGTAGTTCTACTGATTGCTTCTGCACACATTCTACACCATCCTTTTAGTGAATTAACCGAAATAGATAACACAAATGGTTGTTAACTATGGCTTTCCCTCCTAGTTTTTCTGCAAGTATATACTTAGATGTTCTTATCTGCATTTTTTTCTTGCAATTCTAAATTATTGTTTTGCGACTCTGGTTTTCTCAACCAAAATGGCATTTTGAGATGATTATTGCGTACCCATACCTTGATGTTCCCATGAGAGTCTCCGACTCGCCATTCTATCCGGAAGTTTCTTTGTTATGTCAATACATGTAGTTGATTTCCTTTTTGTTTTTCAAAACTTGCCATATTCTTGTGTTGGTCTGTGTCACATGCTTTTTTGACAAGTCAGAAAATGTGATATCAAGAAATTCAGGCCTTGTTTGGTTTGTATTTGAGAAAAATGTTTTGAGATAAAAAGTATAAAAATTTGTTTGGTTTGGTTTTTTTTTAAAAGATGTTTTGAAAGAGAGTTTTGGAAAAAATGATTGATTTGATGTGTATGAGAGAGAGATTTGTTTGGAAAATTTGTAAACCAAACAAGTTTTGGAAAATTTTTTTGGAAAAATTTGTTTGGTTTGATTACTTTTGAAAACTTATTTGTAGAGAATTTTTCCCAAAATTTTTTGAGAAACATAAACCAAACAAGGCCTCAGTGTACTTTTTTTAAAAAATTATTTTCATAGTCAGAGGGTTAAACCAATGTACGAGTACAGATTCAATCATAAGCTCTCTTATTCATATTAAAAATATGTAAGCAATTATTTAAATTGTCATTTTCCCTATATCTTTTATGGTTAATTACAAGGCACTATACTTTTATATGTAACAGGTAAAACTATGGTAGCTCGGATCCTTGGAAGATTACTCTACATGGTAGGAATTTTACCAACCGACAAGGTAACTGAAGTACAAAGAACAGATTTGGTTGGTGAATTTGTTGGTCATACAGGACCAAAGACTCGGAGAAAGGTATGCTATCGTGCTTCCAAAACCATATCTCATGTTTTCTTCGTGGCAGAAAAAGTAAATATAATATTCTAACAAACACATATTTACCAAACCATCTACAGATCAAAGAAGCAGAGGGAGGAATTTTATTTGTGGATGAAGCGTATCGACTAATACCAATGCAGAAGACAGATGATAAAGACTATGGGCTCGAAGCCTTAGAAGAGATCATGTCTGTGATGGACAGTGGAAAAGTTGTTGTCATCTTTGCTGGCTACAGTGAACCGATGAAGCGTGTGATTTCATCTAACGAAGGGTTCTCCAGAAGGGTGACAAAGTTTTTTCATTTTGATGACTTTAGTTCGATAGATTTAGCCAATATCCTTCATATGAATATCAACAATCAAGCGGAAGACAGCTTATTGTATGGATTTAAGTTGCATCGTTCGTGTACTGCCAATGCTGTTGCATCGCTGATAGAGAGAGAAACTGGTGAAAAGCAGCGGAAGGAGATGAATGGCGGTTTGGTGGATCCGATGCTAGTTAATGCTCGAGAAAATTTGGACTTGAGGCTCAAATTTGACTGTGTAGATGTTGATGAACTTGTTACAATCACACTAGAGGATTTAGAAGTTGGCATCCGATTATTATCACAATGAGACATGATTAGGTGATGACTCTGAAAGGGGGGCGATCCAGGTTCAATAATTGGCCAGATTCTTTTGTTGTATATTTTTCCTTTTTGTAATTGATAGGCTATGATAGTCATTGATGCCCATTTGAAATGTTTGGTGGGTATTTGAAAATTCTTTGTTTGTTTGTTTGTTTGTTTTCTTTTTTTTTTTGAAGGCTTTGATTGTCATAGCTAGCAATATGTTCAAGAAGAGTTTGGTTTGTTGTTGATAGAGATATGAAGCAATTCTTTGAATTTTGTTTATTCTTTTCATGTATAATTGTTGAGTTCAATAACAAGCAAACATATCTCTCATTTTTCATGTGGTTGGTTCATTTGTTTTCTTTACTACTACCTACTTTTTGAATTTCTGGCTTCTGAAGTTGGTTTAGAATTGTGTCTTTTTGTCATTGTCCAGCTGAAATAATAAGCTGCAAAAGTTGATCATATTTGTGATGATAACTCATAAATTATACTTGCTGAGATTCTGTAGTTGATCTAGAAGTTCCCGTGTATTCATTTAGTCTCTTATTATTAGTTGAACATATAGTTAACATGATATTATCGAACCATATAATAATTATTTTGTAAGATTTGTTAAGCAAATTATTTATAAAATGATAAAAAAATTTAAGATGAATTTACTCCAATCATATGACTATTAATTGAATTATATTTATTTTGAAAAATATAAAATTTATGAATGATTTGGATACTAGAAGAGTTTGGGTAAAACCTACGCAAGGAACTCTGCAAAATCCAAACAAACGAGGTCATTGCGTGCAAGCCAAAAATAATTATAAGGAAAAATTATGAAAAAAATTCCAGATTTGATAAGTGATAAAATAAATTATAACTATTTAATTGGTTCAATCTAAATTCTTAAGTTTTTAGAATGATATTGATTCTAACCATTCATTAGTTCTAACCGATAAAACAAAAACTTAATCACTTTTTATCGGTGGTAACAACAGAGATTATAGAATGGGGAATAAATGAAAAAGATGACAATAAATTAGGAAAAAAGAAGAGTAGCGATGGACAAGAAAAATAGATAATAGTAGATTAAATGAGAAGAGGAGCGGAGATAAACGACGATAAAGATAAGAAATAATTGTCAAGAATGATAAAGTGAAAAAAATGAATAAATTACCTATTTTTCATTAGTTATTTCAGAAGTTAAAAATTTAGATTAAAATAATTAAAAAATGAAAGTTTGATTTGTTAAGATTTTTCCCCCCTAAATCCAAAAGGAAAAAAAAAGGAAATAAAATGAATAAATAAAAACCTGATTTCATTGTTGCTTAGTTGGCTGAGTCTGCACAATAGCAAAAACCAGAACCAGACACACAGAAGAGTAACAGAAATTCTGGTTCACCCTCATCCTCAATCCACCCTCTGTCTCAAATCTCTCTCTCTATCTCTCTCTAAAAGAGAACTATGGTCTGTAGTTCTCTCTCCCTACTATATTCCCCATGTTCTTCATTTCCTTCCAATTCCACCAACGATTCACATTCTACTTCTTCTTCTCTATCCAAGCTCCGATCTTTCAAACGTAACCCTAGGGTTCTGAAACTAGCCTCCTCGAATTGTTCATCTTCTTCTCAATTTTGGAGAATCGAAGTTCGCTCGAAGCTATCGGTAGACGAGGATGGCTCAGCCGAGCAGTTTCTGCGGAGCAATTCGATTACGGACTTCATGAGGTTCAAGAGAGGGAATTCCGATGCGGAGCTTCAGACAGCCGCTGTTAGCTATAAGAAGAAGTTCCCTTGGTCTCTTCTCCGACCATTTCTTCAGGTATAATTATAACCTGTAAATTAATGTTATTTTTTTGCATACTTATGTGTGTGTGTGTATTGACATGTTTGTTTCTTGAGAAAATCTGTAACTTTGAAGTTTAGAGGGAATTCCGATGCGGAGCTTCAGACAGCCGCTGTTAGCTATAAGAAGAAGTTCCCTTGGTCTCTTCTCCGACCATTTCTTCAGGTATAATTATAACCTGTAAATTAATGTTATTTTTTTGCATACTTATGTGTGTGTGTGTGTGTATTGACATGTTTGTTTCTTGAGAAAATCTGTAACTTGGAAGTTTGACCTATTGTTTGATTTTGTATAACTGGTTTTTGATTTTATTAACTATGTAGGTTGATTTGGTTTCTACAATACACATTGCGGACAAAGAGTATGTTTTCTTACTCAAATTTGGATAAGATTTATCTTTTTTAGTATAGGGTAATTGTATGGTTGGACAAAAAATGAGACACAAAAAATTATGGTCTGTACAACAAGTATATGTTTTTGGATAGTGCATGCATACTGGATGCCTATAATTTCAAAGAAATAAATGAAAATTTCTACCAGTATACTTTTAACTTTTTTGGTTGGGGGATTTGAGAAGGGATTTGGAAAGAGAAAGGGAAAAGGAAGGTGAAATGTGAATAAAATATAACTATATTTCACCTAGTTTCACATACCTTTTATCTTTTCTTTTTCAAATCTCTTTCCAAATCTCCCAACCAAACACAGGGTTAGGAAAGAATGGTTATTTATCTTTCACTGATCCAAATTTATATTTACCAGTACACTGTATGGAGGATGATTTATGGGAAAATACAATTCAGTGTAGGTTTTGAAAAAAAAAAAATTACACATATAGGGTAAACTTTATAAATATTAATAATTAAAATTCTAAATTTTTTCATGTATTTGTAAATATTTTTTCAAAAAACCCACTTAATTGTAATTCTCCCATGATTTGTTGCTAAAGGTGAACCAATTTGAGATGAGAGTGTTGATGATATTTAGAGAAAAGACTACGAGAATTAGAATTAGGGCAGGAGGAGATTTTCCAATGACCAAGTGGGTGGAGAAAAAGTAGATGAGTTTGGAGATGCATTTGTTAAATTGATCATTGATTTACTGGAGCTAGTAAGTTGGAGGGCAACCTTTATTGGGGACAGATTGTAAAACATATTTTTGATAAATTTATTGTGTTTTGGAATAGAAGTGTACCATGTTTGGAAAATGAACATCATGGGGTAACTAGCTTCTCTTAGTGATCTTGCATTGAACTTGAACATGATTCTTGGATTATGAGACCAATTTTTAATTCTGAAATTTATCTAGATGGAATGGAATATGAACAGAGGGGCATTAGTTTAATAACCTTGGGGTTGTGGGTTTGAATTAGAGGGCAATTGCTTTGTACATAATTGTACAGGTCTGTTTCCAGCATTGTGGGGTTTGATAATGGTTGATCACACACTTGTCTTTGGAAAATTTTCTTATCCCTTTTCTGTTTTCTTTTGTGGTTGAAAACCTGTGATGCCTATTAGCCACTGAACTCGGTAACATAATTTCCTTCTAAACCTTTCCTACAAGCTATCCTGTAGATTAACTGCTTTCTTGAAGGAAATAATCTCCCTTGAATCTTAACATTTCATACAAGATTATGTATTGCTGGAAATCCAACTTGAGAAGTTCAACTTTTATTTTTCTACAAACTCTCTTGTAAACCTTACGCATGAGAGAGAAAAATGTATTTTTCATTTTCCTTTCTCTTCACTTTTCTCATGAACCACTTTACTGTTTAATGTGCCTGACAACCAAATAGAGCCTCTCGCTGGCAACTTTTGAATAATAACATACCAACTATATTTAAACCATTTTTGTCACCCTCCTCACTAACCAAAAACCCAGCCCATCAGTCCTTGATGTTCCCCTTTTGTGGTGATTGTTAATATCTCTATCATTCTTTCTTGCTTTCCTCGCTTGTCTTAATTTTTTTTGAATAATTGTGTGCTCCCCCTTCAACTATTTTTCTGTGAGATGCAGTGAATCATGTGAACAGATGGTTTAGTATTGAAGGGAGTATTATATAAACCTGATTTAAGAATTACATGGGCTTCATTTGACTGACTTGGATCTGTTGAGCCACCTATTGCCTAATTTTCTTCAAAAAGGTAGCAGAAACCACTTGTTGGTTGCATGGATTATGATGCCATTAAAGGGGCATTAAATTTTTTTCCTGATGTAATTAGTGGACACATATGGGTTAATGAAGGATGACATTTTTGTTTTGTTTTTAGTTGTTTTTTCCTCTGTTTTTTGTTTGTTTTTCTTTTTTTGTCCATAATTTTACACTGCAGCCTATTTGCATGATGTGTGACTTGCATCTTGCTCTGTTTATTCATGTATGAGGATCTGGTTTCTTTTCTATTTTACTCTTACAGAAAAATGATAGTTTAATTTTTTTCCTTTTAAAATTTCTTATTTGTTTTCTTGACTTCTTCACTTGATTTACTTTCTTAACTTGAAATTCATTCGTTTGGTTGATCTTGTGTCATACACAGATATTTTGCAACCCTCCAGAAGGAACTTGAAACTTATGACTGTGTCCTTTATGAGATGGTGGCTAGCAGGGAGAGTTTAGAAGGCAGACAATACCGTGGTGCCACAAAAAAGTTAAAAGCTTCCCGCTCACGGGGGTTTAATATTCTTGGATGCATTCAGCGCCAGATGGCTAAACTTCTTACGCTTGATTTTCAATTAGACTGTCTTGACTACCAGGCTGAGAATTGGTACCATGCAGATCTGGATTATGAAACCTTCAAACTACTTCAGGTTTTATTCCTTTGAGCACTCTGCATAATGTTGATCTAATACACAGTAATTGTTTTTTGGAGTTTACCTTAGTGCTGAATTTTCTCTTCTTTTTTTTTTTTTGACAAAAAAATATACTTCATTCCAGTTTCAACTCATCTTATTAATGAATTAGGGCGCTTAGAGATGCTTAAAATTTTTAAGGTACTCCTGAAATCTACATGGTCTGTCTTTTCACTTCCAACCTCTGATTTTGTGATGAAGCTGTTGTTGCTCTAGATACAATTTCTTATAATAGTTTTGCGTCTTTGTTTGTGCTATCTGAATAAAAGCTATATGAAGGGAAAAAGAAATAGGATCAGGCAGCTGGGGTGGGCGGCAGGTGGGTTTGTTCGTCTGAAAATTTGAGAAAACTTGTTTGGCAAATTGTTTTCAGCATTTTTTATATTTTTATTTTTTAAAACAACCCATATTTATGGAAAGACCAAAAAGTTTTCAAATTTTTGAAAACTCAAAATGAAAACAATATGAAAACGATAGGTTTTTCAAACTTAATTGTTTTTGTTTCCAAAAACATGAAAAATGAAAAGAAGAAAAACTATTAATAAAAGTATTTGAATGCTTCTATCTAAAAAAACAATAAAAGTATTTGAATGCTCTCACGTTCTTTATCTACATATACAAGCGTTACCTCTTGCACTTCTAGTTAAGTTCAGGAACAATTGATTGCCATTAACACTGGACTTGAAAATCTTATGCTACTCTATCTTCTCTTTCAGCATGAAAAAGGTGAAAGCTTCTTTACCTTTGCAAGAGATATGACTCTTAGATCAACAAAAGCCATGGTGCAGCCTACTTCAATTCCAGAAGAGCTTGGTCCTTGGAGATCCAAGCTTCTTTGGGCTTCTCGTGTGCTACCTATGCCTCTTGTTGGCCTTGTCATTATTGGAAGTGTTTGTGCTGATGTGGGAAGTCCAAGATCTGAATATCCAGAATTAGAAGCCTTGTCCAGGCTGGATTTTGGGGCTGCTATGAAGGTCTTCCTGGCAAAGAGACTAACATCTGAGTAAGTATATTCAATCTTCTTCTATATTTGAAGGTTACATGCTGCTAGTGGTAATGGTGTTGTTTGATAGGTCATAGATGTTGTTTGGTATTTGCTTTTATACCCTTTTTTTTTTTGGGTCTGGACTTCAGGTTAATGCAATGTTGATAATTATGAATTTATGAGCAAACTGGTCTAGTTGAGGGAGTACTCTGAGACCATGGCTGTTTATTGCTACGGCCGTGCATAAATCATAAACTAATTAATGTTTCTTTTTTTCTTTTTAAATTTAAACTTGCAAAATGAACCTTTTGCTCAAATATAAAGTTGTGTATACAACATATTTGCTATTCTGATACAGCTAAATGTGATATTTGCTATTCTGATAGAGCTAAATGTGAGCTCACTGTTCTAGACTTCGTATCTAGTGAGTTGGTGGAAAATCTAGACTGATAGACCTTAAGCATATCCCTTCTTGTATGTGTGGGTTGCTCCTAGATTGGGACCTAACAATGTTTTCCTCAAGAGGTAAGTTAGCAATGAGATGTGGAGATGACTTTGGACCATCCAGTTTGAGTTCATTCATACATGTAATAATCTCTGTTGTTTCAACTTGTTTTCCCCTTCAAATTTTCATTCCAAATTTAATCAACTCGGTTAAGTTCCTTGATATATTCTATCATCTGTATTCTGTGCCTTGATTTGGCAATGAAAAGTTGGAACTTGCAGTCAACGACAAAATTGACATTGGAAATGGTTCATGTTACCAATGAAAATATTTTAGTGTTCCTATAAAACTACTATGATTTCACACAAATGGTATTATTTATCCTTTTAATGAAGGAATTGTTGTATTGATGGAACACTATAAATGTGAAGGTTTACTCAGGTGACAGCTGACGTAGAGGAGAAATCTGTCATCATTGGCGAGCGGAACAGAGCCGCAACTGAGGCACTTCGAAGAGCAATCGATGAAGGTCACAATAAGATTGCTATACTTTACGGAGGTGGACACATGCCAGACTTGGGGAGGCGATTACGAGATGAATTTGATCTAATCCCTTCTGGGGTGCAGTGGATAACAGCTTGGTCCATACAGAACCAGAATCTAACGACCAGCTCGCTTCCATTTCTGAAGACAATGGCAGAAGTTTTGGGATGGCCGTTGAATCGGTACCAGACTTTGGCATTGCTTCTCTTCTCCTCCGTGCTAGCGTTGGACCTCTTGTTTTGGGAGCTTTTTTTTGGCACTACCGTTGATTGGATTGCCCATGTTGCTTCAGACATTATATTTTGATAATGCACAGGTGATGTGATTTAAGTCTCTCTTGGGTCTCATTTGTCGTCCAATCCAACCATTTAAAAAATTCAAAAAGCCTATTATTTTATTTTACAAACCTATCTACAATTTCAAATCATGTGTGTCTATAAAAGCCTACCATCTTATCATTTTAGCCTAAAAATCTAGTACTATGAGGATTTTTTTAGAATAAAAAAATGGTCAAGTCCCACAAAAAATGGTTAAGTCTTTATGTTTTCCCAACAACCTACTGGCTCACAGCCAAAGGGTAGGTTGTCGCGTCAGCACATCATTTCGTGAGTCCAAATTCACGGTCAAAATTGGTAATTTACCTATTTTTTAATTTTATAAATTATTTCATTTCACGTTTATTTTATAAAAAGTTAAAAAATTATTTTCAAATATAATAGTTTTTTTATCTCATATTTTAGTTAAAAAATTAAAAGGTTATTAAAATATTCTGTTTCCAAAAGAGACCTTAATAGGTACAATTTCTTCAGTTTGACAAAGATGGAGGCAAAAGCTGTGAATGTCCTTGTAAATATTTTGAACTTCTTTCCTTGGATTGAAATATAGTAAGAATGTTTGAGCCATTTCTTGTGGTAGATTGTTCGGATATGATACATACTGATCAAGAATGCTTGTCTTTTGCTCCTAAAATTTGATCTGTAATATGCGTGTAATATTACATGCGAAACCATGATTGTTACCTCGGCTGATATAGCAATTTAACCAAGCGTTATTTACACCGACACTCAGCTATCAGTTTACCTCTCTTAACCGTAAATTTTTGATCATTTTCAAATATAGAAAGGTACAAATGTTCCTGTCTGGAGAGTAGGATGTTGGCTGCAATGGTCTTACACCAATCAAACAACCAAGTGAGATATATCTTAGTTTTATTATCTGATTGTCTCTCAAATGTATTTTTGGCAAAAATTGACAAAAAAAATTCTATAATTGTCTATAATGTTTGCTTTCTTCAAACGTAATTGCAAGAAACCAGAATATCCATTTCATTCATCTTTATGATACATAACATAGCTTATGCATAGAAAAGATACATTGCAAGTTAAAAAGAGATAGCATCTACCAAATACAGTACAGGACATATTTATAGAGAGCTCTTTCCCAGATTTTCCGACACGGGTGGAGAGAAAGCCGCAGGAAGCTGCGGCGGCTGCAACGCAGAGAGTGTGAGTCTTGTTCCTCCTCTTCCTAGAGCTCCCTGTTCCTTTACCCTGTTTTGTTTCATGTTTCAAGTTTCAATTCAAAACCCAGATAACAAAACACAAACACAAACACAAACAAATATATATAATAAAAACTATGGAAACTGGTACACAGTTATTAGTATATGAATGAATTACAGAGAAAATGGAGAGTGTAAAAAACATCACCATTGTTGTTAACGTTAACAGGAGTTGTCAAAAAAAAAAAAGAAGAACACTCTTGAGCTTCTCCGAAGCTCTCTCTCTCAACATTTACAAGGCTAGCTAAGCGGTTGTGGCCTTTGTGACAGCGCAATTTAGCATTATGTCACTTTCTTCTAAGCGGTGCTCTGGCGGTGTACATTGATTTTTATTTCTCTCTGCATAAAATTCACAGTGACATTCATCAGTTAACAAAAAATTTATATCAATTATTATTTTTGACATGGATAGGCCCACAAGGCATACGGCCCACGACAAACCACCCCGAACCCATTGCTTGGGGCCAATGGCACAACTCGGTTGACAAGGCCCAGAACAGCTGGAGGCCACCTAGACATGAAGGGCCAACGGCATTTAGGCACACGGCAGGTGGGACACGGGCCACATCAGCAGACAAAGATCTGCAGAGTTATTATCACAACACATCACCATTAATGCAACCCATCACAGCATTTATTACAACAGCACTCCCCGCCGGAACAGAGCCTCCATCACCCTAAACAAGATGAGCTATGGCACAGGCTTTCGGCGGAAAAAGCACGTCACAAGAGACAGGAAAAATGATGACAAAAGGATATAAGCAAGGATAAGAGAAAAGAAAAAGGTTAAGTTATCTCTCTCTTGATCTCTCGATATACAGTCTTTTCATACCCTGCTTTTCTAATTCTTGCACCGGAGGGTTCACTGGGGGACTACCCCGTTCCCCCCTGAACTTGCATGCAGGTCATCTGACGGAGTCTCCTTCTTGAGCCGGAGCCTGAAGAGCCTGGGCCGGTCCGACCCATCCACCCGAGAATCGATACCTCATCAAATAGGAATTTTAAAAAATTGACACATTAATCAATATTAAAATCATAATAAAATTACAATTTCGATATGTGCCTGTAAAATCATAATGTAGGTGAATATTACTCAATGTCCTGATTGATGAATGATTCTTTCATTAACATCAACCCAGTTAGAAGAAAACAATATAACTTGTATCAACCAAGAATGACACATAGGAAGCCCTCGTTTCGGAACAGGCATTTTTAGTGATTTTTTAATTTTTTAATTAAAATATAATGTAAAAAAATTAATATATTTGAGAGAATTTTTTGACTTTTTATGAAAAGATGTGTAAAAAGTAGAGTGAAAAGAGAATCTTTGACTTTTTTGTATGAGTTATTGGCTTTTTAATTCTTTTAGTGACTTTTTAATTTTTTGATTAAAAAAGCCACTCGCCAAACGAGGCCTTAGTATCCTATGCTACTATATTCCATATTAATAAATTTTACAAAAAATAAATAAATAACAGACAAAATTTGGAAAGTGAGTTGGCTTTTTAATTTTTTGATTATTTTAGCATGGGCTAAAAAGCCTCGTTTGAGAAAGATTTTTTTGACTTTTTATGAGAGAAAAAATGCAATGATTATGGATTGAATGTGATGTTTTGTCTTATTGAGTTAAAAAATCTATTTTATTTTTTTTTATGACTATTTTAACAAAAAAAACCCGAACCTCAAACTTCCCAAACATAGGCAAAGAAATCCTACCGATTACCATGATGTAATTTTGTTCATACACTTATCCCAACAGTATCAATCAATATTATATGATTTTATACTTCAATTTATGAAAAGTTTTTCACTAATTTAAAAATGTTTTTATGTATACAATTATCTAATCATTTTAAATTTTTTTACAAGGATTATCTTTCTCAAGAAGTCTTGAAATATAAATAATTCAGATCATCAATATGAGTCTCATGGCCTAAAAATATGTAAAATTGGCAATTGCACAAGAGAAGCTTTGCCTCTTTAGAAACGGAGAAAATAGAGTCTAGATTTTTGCTCAAAATGCATGTGCGGTATTGAAAAATCTAAAAATTCGCTAGATATTGATTTGTGATTATGTATCAATTTAAATCAATAAAACAATCACAATCAAACAATCAAGACAAATCGACACAACGATTTTAACGTGGAAAAATCACAATTGGAGCACCTCCAATTGTGATAAAAAACCAAGGGCAACAGCCACAAAACAATCCACTAAGAAGATATAAAGGAATTACACAGGTATACTCTCAACTACCTAGCGAATCTATGCCCGAATTGAACCAACCTCTATGTGTCTCTTCCAACCCCGTCTTCACCTCGGAATTGTCTTGACGATGAGTTACTTCAGAATCCACCAAAGCTTCAGGCTTGTATTCTTCAGAATCCACCGAAGAATAACTCTCTCTTTTGTATAGGATTAAACAAGCAATCCTTTGATGTAAATTTCTAAAACCATGAGTTGAATACTCAATTAAAACATCAAAGAAAACTAGCAAAATATCTCCAGAGATAAACCTTAATATCCAAAAAGAAGATCTGGAGAAGTAATCCTAAAATCTGACAAAAACTCGTACTTATAGAAATCTGGGACTGCGAAGCTCGCTCGAGTGAAGACTCTTTTGCTCGAGCGAAGACTCTTTTGCTTGAGCGAGGAACCAAAAACGCATGTGTTTCCATAAGTAGCTTCGTTGGAGCCAAACAACTTGCGCTCGAGCGTAAAATCATCATTTTTCAGGTTTTTTGCTAGACGCAACCTTCGCTCGAGCGAGCAAGGGCGGACATGCAACTTCGAATGCACAATTGCATTTTGCTTCGGGGGCACTGCCCCTCAACCTCGCCTGAGCACTACCCCGGACCTGCCAAAGGACGCTGCCTTCTGGACCCCTACGAGCTGATCGGACAGTTCGATCCCCATCATAATCAGCGAAGTGGCAATCTTGAAAATATTAACATCACAAACTTCTCTGCAAGGCACAATTCGAGTTGGATTCGCATCTAAACACTTATAGCCTCATTGAAATAAAAAGTGCGAAATTAAGTATAACTGAAAGGAGTTTTGTTCAAACGGGATTGCTAAGAAAAAACCTAATAAATATAGATTGAAAAGAAAAGTTTGGAAATCCAGACATATCTATTAAGAATTTTCTTGGATGGATGGTTGTGGAAAGCAGATAAAATTTGCATAGGGTGTAGTTTATGTATAAATTAAATATGAATCACAAGAAGATATTTTGAGTAGTCAAGTTTGAATTTAGTGGATTGAAAAACAAAAAAAAAGTTAAAAAGGGTGTCCCTTCCTATTGAAATCTAAGATTTTTAAATAAAAAAGGAGGAAGACAATCAGACAACGTCGCTTTGGCCGAGTGGTTAAGGCGTGTGCCTGCTAAGTACATGGGGTTTCCCCGCGAGAGTTCGAATCTCTCAGGCGACGTGTAGATACTTTTTAATATTGGGTAAACCAAAAAGCAATGGAAAAACACCAAGAAAGAATTTGATCAGCCACTCTCTCTCTCTCTCTCTCTGACAACTTTTGATGTTATCATTCTACATTCGCAAGTTGTTTCTACAAATTTTGCACTCCTCAATGCTTGATTTGATTCATGTATGCCCAATTTGGATTACTATGATTTCTACGTTCAAAAGCAGTTTCTGCAAATTTTGCACTTGCCAATAGTGATTTGATTCATGGGTAGCCTCTAACTTTTCTGGGTATTGTGTGTTTTACAATTTCACCATTTCATTCTTTTTCTTTCACGCATTTATGTGTCTGCAAATTGCAGTCTTTATAAACCCATTCCTCAGTGTATATGTTAGAATTTCACGTCTTAAATATTAGAAACAGAATCTCTAAATTCGTTTTTAATTACTATTTTTTTTTTTGGGGGGGTCATAATACCTAAGATTGCTAAGACTAGTCCACCAAAACATAATCATAATTGAATTGTTAAATTAACAGGTGGGCATCCCACTAGAATGCCGGTGAAGGAACGATTTGTTAAGTATGTTCCCACACTGATGGTGTTTTTTTCTGAGAATATTACTTGGAATATCAAATGTGTGTTGTCAATTTAAGATATTGAAGAAATTTATATGCTCTTGATTCATATGGGTATATAATAATACATCCATATATGAACATAAACACAAACAGATTCATTTGATTTGCTAATTCTAAAGATGCAAGCTGTGTTAATGCTTGGTTTGTCTTGAATTGTCTACTTTCTGTCTGATTAAATGCCTGAAAGACCGATTATCTTGTTTGTGTCATTTGTTTTCATCTCTAAGATGTTTTTTGTTTCCCATTTGATCAAGATTCAATATGGTTGGTTTCTTGATACTTACTGTTACATGATTCACCATTGATTCTATGTGAAAATAGGTTCACCCATTGATTCTCATCGATTTATACATGTATTGTGAGTTGAATCTTGAATGGTAAGATTATACTTCACAACAAAGATAGCGTTTTTGCTGGTTGTTAACTTTGAGTTAATTCTGCTTTTGATTTGCAGGATGGCTTTTAGTTGAGATCTCTAATGAAGGCATGTTCTTTTGAGAAAATCAACACTGGCTTGGGTTGGCAGAGGTGAAAGCAAGTATTATCCTTAGTTGTATGAATTTAAAACTTCTTGCATCAATGAAAATGCTGCTAGACTGGTAAGAAATTGAGAATACTGTTAAAACATTCAACATAAAACCAATTGATAATAAGTAGAAGAGCTTCTAGAATATATAAGCATAGTTTGAGTAACTTAAATAGACAAATATGAGACAAATCTAACATGTATGAACACATGTTGATATGCCACTTTTCAAGGTGAAAATTTGCAGGTACAATATCCTCAATATGTTGGCGGCTACATCAATGCATGCCTCATTGTTTTCTTCATTCTATGTAGGGTGAACATAGTTCGGTTTGGTTCAGTTTAGGAGGAAATTCAATGACTAAATCACTATTTACGGTTCCATGAAATTTGAAACTAAACCAAATATGGAATATCTTGACGGTTTGGTTCGGTTCATTTTGGAACCATGGTTTCTAGAAATTTGTCACCACATGCTTAAAAATATTGCTCCCAACCTACTCAAACATTGTCATAATTTTTAAACAAAGTGTTTAGAGGGAAATTTTTTGGGGCGTGTGCCATATGCTCTAGTTATGACATCTGTAGTATTCGGTTATAACTTATTGTAGTATTAGTTATGACTTAATTATGATTGATCATGATGTAAGTTATGACTCATTGAGATGTTGGTTATGTTATGATCCAAAAGCTATTTGATTGTACTTTATGTGATGTTTGATTATGACTCATTATTATTATTATTATTTTTAGTTATGATTGAAAAAGATTTAGCTATAATATTTGTAATAATCAACCCCACAAATATCATAACTGACATATAATATGCAGTTTTTTTGACAGTGTTTACCATGACCCCGCTTTCTATGTTCCTTTTGTTTGCGAAGTCAAGTGAGGAATACTAACTCCATTTCCTTGACTTTAACCTCAAACCATCTCTTGCTTTGAAACATTTATCAGGTAGGTATAATATAATCCATGTGATGTGAACTACCCAACAATGATATCAACAGATAATGAATCATTACAACTAAAACACTATAAGCATTGAGCTGAGCGTGCTAGAAAGAATTTTTCCTTGGCGAGTGATTGATCATCTAACTCAAAAAAGGGAGTACAAATATTATCTTAATGTAGCTAGAGCATTCATAGTATGTAAACACTTCTGCAAATTTCAAATGTATACCGAAATGATCAGGAAAGCAGAGGTAGTTTAATCATTACGTCACTTAGTTTATCGTAAAGGCCTTCAATTTTATTTTTTTTTCAAAATTCTTATTATTGAAGGCCCTAATTTTTGAAAGACCTAATAAGATAAGACATAATTTTAATATTTAGCATAAAGCCTCGCAGAACCTTGGGCCGCTAAGACATTTGAGGTTGATCCTAATACGAATGGTGTTTCATAATTTTATCAGGCATGAGTTGTTATAGGGGCAGTGGTGGAGTCAATAATTTTCAATGGTAGGGGTTGGAAGAAAAGTATGGGCAAATTTTGCATGGGCAAATCGTTGATCAGGTTGAGTTTAAAAAGATTAAATACAAAAAAAATAATAAACCAATATAAGACAATTAGCTTAATAAAAAATTGTATGAGATTAGTCTAAATCTATGCATGCTATTCACTTTTTATAAGTTTATAATTTTGTTTGGTACAATTTATTTTATATATATATATATTGACAATATATGTTGAAGTGCTTGGTGTAATTTTTGCTTACAGTTTATAAAAAATTAAAATAACTGATAAGTTGTAAAAAATTAATTATTAGAAAGTTTAGGAGGAATGTTTTTAGCTTCTATTTTTATTATTATTATTATCAATTTTACACTTATGAGAAACTACACAAAAGACGGAGACGGCGTGCTGCTGTGCCTTAAGGCACATCAGTTATTGCTGTGCCCCTTGGTAGAGGTTTTTCCGAATATTTTTCGATGATCTGAACTGTTCGTATTGTAGGGTTCGTCGAGTAGATTATCCATACAAAAAATCTAGTTGATTGGATATCTGTAACCCTATAAACAAAGCACATTTGTTTCTATAAAAATTAACGATTAACATAATTTTCATAAATTTTTAAAAACAATTGGGGTCTAATTATGGAGTTATAAATATCCGATTAATTTGATTTTTTATAATAATAATAATATTCTTGACGAACCTTACAATATACATGGTTCAGATTATCGAAAAACACTCGGGAAAACCTCCCAAAAAGGGACAACAATAAGTGTTGTGTCTTAAGGCACAACAGCACCCCCTTATCTCACCAAAGAACTCCTATGTAATTATTTAAATCAATTAAAAAAAAAAAAACTCCTATGTAATTATTTAAATCATACACCTTCAAAAGTTAAATAATTAAAAAAAATTTATAAAAATTCACATAAGAAATCAATTTCAATTCTCTAGCAAAATTTAAGCATTTAATATTTCCTTTCTTAAAAAAAAGCATTTAATATATATATATATATATATAATTTCATACCCATCATATCAATTGTATTATACTTTTATTGTTCGTTTAATTGAATAAATTTTAAAAGTTTTAAATTTTTTGAAATTAAAAAAAAAACATTAAAAACAACAAAAATAAATTAACAAAAAAATTATCAAAAGAGTCAATCTGAAACGGCTTTCATGGTATAATTTTAGTGGGAAAGTAACATAACATACATAAGTAATTTTAGTAGAAAATAACATAAGTAATATATGAATTAAATTTTTTTTAAAAAAATCAATGTAATTATGTCAAAAATATAAAATTAATTATATTTTTAAAGTTGAAGAAGGTGATTTTAGTTTGAGTAATGCTATGGTACACACCATTTTCAGAGTTTGTATCATATGCAAGTTATGTTATTTGTGAGTTTAATTATCATAAATGACATAACTACTATGAGTGAGAATCATAAGTAAAAAGAAATATTTGAATTATAACCAAATAATAATATCACTTCAGATATAATCAAATAATTTTTAAATCATAACTAAAATAATATTATAATATATCATAATTAATAATACAAATAGTCATAATTAAAAACGTAAACATTATAATTAAAAATACATATAATACACATCCAAATGGCCAAAGGTGGTGTCTACCATAAATTTCCCTTTTAATTTACCAGAAATAAATGAATACCCATCTTTTCAATCCTATCTATCTATATCTATCTATCTATATATATTATATAAGGAGAAGGAGATTTCTAATTCATAAAACCTGTGAAAGCTTCAATATCTTAATCTTAATTTCTTAATTTTTTATATAACTAGGTAAATTTAAAACTTTTAAATATCATTGTGTTTTTTATTTTTATCCTCTTTCTAACTTATTATATCATTACTGCTATTTGTTAGTTTGTTAATCATAATTCAATAAATTGAAAATGAAAACTTAGTATAACTTTTCATATATATTAATTAATTTGTTACCGCTATATTTGTATATAATAGCATAATATATATGAATAATTTATAAATATATTTCTATTTATTTTTGTGATTAAAATAGTCCATCTTAAAATTATATATAGAGGAGTTAAATGACTTATTTTATCCCCAAAAAACCCAATCTATTTTTTTTTTACTTTTTAATTTTTTAAATTGAAATATCAATTGTTTACGTCCACAAAACAAAATTGTTAAATACATATCCAAAAGTTACACATTTTTTTTTTCTTTTTATTTTATTTTTTCTTTTTTTTAATAGGTAGGATATTTATAAATAAAAAATGTTTGACACCTCAAAAAAATTTTCATAATCCGACTTATAATGATGCAGTTATAAATGTCGATTTTTATACAAATGTAAGAAGGGAATTAATCAAATTATACATTTCAACCAACCACATACTTAAACTTTCATTATTTCAAGATGTTATTTCATTATAATTCCAATTAAGAGAATTTTCAACCCTTATTTTTTTTTATCAAATTATAATTTGATAAAAATTTAAAAAGATGAAGCATTGAAAATTATTATTTTTTCTATCAAAATTGATGAAAAGAAAAAAAAAATTGAGATAAAAATGAAAGTTCTTATAAAAATTGACAAAAATTAAATGAAAAAGTTGAAGTGCTTAATATCAAATCAAATTTTTTATTCAAGTTTAAAATCAAATCAAGTTTAAAAAAATTAAAAGAAAATGATGAAATGTTGGAAATATTCTAAAACCTTCTTATTCTTAAAGATTAGAAATCTGTGTGTATTATATTTATATTGTATTTATAATTATGAAATTAAAACCAAAAGAAATGTAACTTAAATTATTGGATTAATAACAGAAATATCAAATCAATTATTGTTAAATATCACTTTATATTTAATAATAAAACCGTATATTTGTCTTAATTATAACTTTTAAATTTGTATATTTTCATAAGAAGAACTGGTATGTCATAATTTATGTAACATCATTTAATTAGGTTTAACTTTTTTTATTACAAATTATCAAAATTGTACTATATAAATTTTTTTAAACTAATAATTTAAAAAGTTATTGAGAGGGAAATTTATATGAAAAGTGGGCCGAGCTGGGTAGTGGGCCGTTATGGACCACAATACGGAAGGCAGAGTAAAAAGGCCTTGAAGATTAGTCCGGTCCCAGAGCCTTGAAGTTAGTTCGGTTCCAGACGGCCCTAAAGTTAATCTGGACCCAAAGAACCTAGTGTTATCTCGATCTAGGAGAGCACTACGGATAGCTCGGTCGCGGCATAACGCAGCTAGCTCTGTCGGACCTAGCTAATGATTAGCACGGACTTAACAATATTATGGTCAGCATTGGGAAAACCGTGGTAGCAGTGAATGGAAGAACCGAAGTAGAGTTATCTCGGTCTAGTCTGCGGCTTAGCATAGCTATGCATACCTCGGTCATATTGGAGTCCGACCATGGAAAAACCATCTCACTTGGTTTAAGTAGGGAGGGGGGTGTTGAAGGATAAGCATTATCTTTCAGGAGTGTGAATTCAAGGAGGACTCTACATGGAGGAGTAAGAGTCCTACTATGATTGTGCCACACGGAACCTATAAAAGCTCACAAACATCACCTATGGAGAGGTAACACACAACTTTGATTCTCGAATACACAGAGCTTTTTGTCTTTGTCTATTTTGCTGACTTAGACATCGGAGAGGTATCTGGCACACACCCGTCGGCTAGCTCACGTTTGTATTTTCAGGGAGTAAAGCAACGACGTACGGAGGAACGCAGACTTGATCAACAGGATTATATGAGAAGGTTTATTTCTTTCCCGTACAATTGGCGCCGTCTGTGGGAATTTCAGACAAGAACAAAACCTCTTGATCAAGCTTTTTCCTCTTTAGAATCAATGGCGCACAACGAAGATTTACCACAGTCCACCATTGATGGACAAACACCAGAAGGAGGTGGGAGGCGCGAAGGTTTGCCTCCTGTCCCTCCCATGGCGGACTTGGAGCCCCAACGACATAACCCCAGGAGGGATGCTAGGGGGAGGCGGAATAACAGCCCCCGTCACTCTCATTCACAAAGTCTTGACAGACAAAAGCGGATGATTGATCCTCAAGTTTTGGAGGACCGTGTAAAGGAGCAGGACGAATTAATACGACGGATGGCGGCGGACATGGAGATTATGAAACGCTAGATGAAGGGAAAATGAGGGGTGACAGGAGAGGGGCGCAAAAGCAAGACGCCCCCTCGCCGCTCAGAAGACCGTGGAA